ATATATATATATATATATATATACTTTTATATATATATATATATATATATATTGTATATATATATATATATATATATATATATATATATACTTTTGTGCTGATATTCTGTGACTCTTGTTTTATAATGATTTGGTCAATTAGATTTTGAGCAGTGTTCATCTATTTATTTATGTGTCATAATACATCAACACTGAGGTAGGAAACAAATGAGGGTGTTTCACAACAAAACCTAATCAATGTTTTGCTGACATCTGCTGGTTAGTGTATAGCTGCAGCTAAACAAAAAGCTCTGAAGGATTCTGAGAGGTACCAAGTTGATCCACCAGTTAGGAAAGAAGACTAAATTGAGCAGTTTCTGCCCCAGAAAATGTTTATATACATGTATCTGTGCTTTCTTCTGGTAAAATATGGAGAAAGTAAAAATCGCTCTTTGCTTGAAGCGCTCAGAATTCAAAGAAATATGTAACCTTTGATGAGGAGTTGTGATTTGACTCTGTGTTGTTTTAAATGATCCCAAAACAAAAATCTAACCACTGGCATAAAGTGCAGAGGGCAGTATCCTCCCCACAGTTATGGTTGTCAGGCTTAATGTGAAAGTCTATTCTAAATCCAAGCTCCAGGTAATGAAATACTACTGAACGTTGTCATACATTATTCTAGGTGTTGTCATGAAGGTTTTATTATTCAGAAAAATCCAAAGTATCAAGAACAATCTTTTTCCACAACTCAACATGCAAATTCTGAATCCACATACCTGTGGTAATTTGACACTAGACTCAGAGTCCGTGACCCCTCTGTTTGAGGTCAGGCTCCTGCCCATGATTTGATGACAGTCCTGTTTAACTCTAGTCGATTTTGGCTAATCCTGCTTGTTGACCCTGTGGTAAGGAAGGTGTTGGCCTCATTCTCCTGTTTTACGAATTTTGACCCCCAAGATGTCTCTGCAAATCCACCAATCATCACTCATATGGCCCACTGCTGATGCTGTGTATCTCCGTGTTTGCTCCCAATAAGCAATTGCACATTGCAATAAGCAATGATAATGGTTGACAGATGATAATTCCAAGACTTTGTGATAAAAATGTATGTAAGTGTGTTAACTCTATATCGTCCTAGAATTATAATAAAACTCATCATCATCATATTATTATTATAATAACCTATAAGTATTTATTCTCTGGACATGACCTACACAAGGCATGAGAATTCCTTTCCATCACCAGTAAATAAAATCTTTATCGGCACAATTAATCAGCTTGAATTGTTTTCAGATGTCTGTGTTTATCTGAGACTCTTCAGATAACAATGTACTTGACCCAATACATTATGATGGCAGGAAAGCAATAACAGTTGTCGGATAAGGAGCAGCAAAGTAATTGAAAACAATCAGATGACCTGGGACATGAGTGTAAACAGATAAGGGTTGATAAGCAGAACAATATGGTGGTCTACCTGGCACTGATGCAAGAGGTTGGGCTGCCTGTTTAGTTTGGCTGGCAACTTGCAGACGCTTTGGAGATGAAGGATGTTATAAAACATCATTAGACAAAGTAGGAAATGATGTATTTTCTCCATGATCTAGATTTCCTCCAGACACACAACAAACAGACGATTTTCAAGCTACAAAGTAAATAGTTACCAACCAACATAGAAAAAGTGAGTATGGATGTATGTGCAGTAAAATAAGTGACCAGCAGGGAGTGATGTATCATTGGTTGGTTGCTCTGCCTGAAGAGATGCAGAGAGAGGAAATATGAATTCCCATCATGTTCACACATCTGTAGTAATCAGTGCATTTACAAACACTTTGATCACTCCTAATGGCCCAGAGACGTGACTCCCCGTAACACCCCTGCCTTAACATACACATCCACATTCTCACACAAACACACACACAC